CTGCAGACTCCCAGCCCTTCCGGCTCACTCCCAGTTACATCCTCGGCATGACGTGCTGTGGTATGGAATACCTCTTTGGTCAGTTTGGGTCAGGTGTCCTGTCTCTACTTCCTCCTGGCTCCCCCTCCTCCCTGGCGGAGCATGAGGCTCACAAAGTCCTTGGCCAAACCAAAACATCCTTGTTATCAGCTCTGTTCCCGAGCTGAAAGTCAAAACACTGCACTGCACCAGCTACCAAGAAGGGGAAAAATGACTGCTACTGCTGAACCCAGGACATTATGGTGGAGAGGGAAAAGGGAGGTTTATATCAGTATTCTTTTCCTGTTTCAAACTTCATCAAACATTTTATCCTGCACATGGAGCACACTGCAGCCCTCATTCAAGCAAAACCCTTATTGATGGTTGTGATGTTCTATGCACTGAATACAGGATTGAGTGATTGATTTTTGGGAATGTGAAGTTAACTGTCACAAGCAGAAGGGGCAGCAAACCCACCACATCTGTTTTATAGACTAGTTGCTTGGTGGCACTTCCTGCAGCAACTCTGTAATGAAGACTGAGAGACCTACTTAACAGTGCACAGACACAGAGGCATAGTGCGGTGTGCAGGACACAGATTGAGCAGACTTTGATTCCAAGATCCAGTGGTCAGTTGCTGCCTACAAAACGATGCTGTTAATGTGGAACAAGAGGAGAGCTGCAGATTTGTTAGGAGCCTTGTGGCAAGCTTACCATATACGTGTCACATGTGGCACTCTGCATCTGCTTGCCAGCTAGAACTTGATTTGTGGACACTCTGTACCATAGAGAACACAGTGGCCTATTTGAGCCTCCTGTATTTGTTCCAAGAAGTGTGTGTGGGCAAGAAGAGGGTGGTCACTTCACTGTGTCTGAGGGGTTATCATTCTGGTCTGTCCTAGTGCCTTATCCTAATTCTAGATCTCAGATGATAGAGGCTTCCTATCTGGATAATGAGGGCAGGCTGCACAAAGGAGATGTGGAAATGCAGCACTGTGTGTCACAAGACTTGTCTGGGATCTACAAAGGCCTTTTAGCACAATTTATGCTATAGATACCCATTTGTGTGCAGATACGTGCTCTGGGAGTTAGGCAGAAACATTGTGAGTTCCACAGAAGCACTGAAGAAATGCCATTGTTCCCCTTGCTTTTAAACCCAAGCGAGCTGTTGGGGTAGTCTGGGAGCAGTAGTAAAAGGTGTGTTCCTCCCTCCCACCCCCTGCACACCCTTCTGTTCATCAAACAGCCAATTGCTGTTGGTCAGAGACAGAGAGGGTTTGAGTCCTGTGTTGATGTGAGTAGTGCCTGAACACCAGCTACTCATGAGAAGGTGCTCAAAGCCAAAAGTTTGGATCTGAAATTCCACCCAGCTGCTGGTAGACCAGAAACTTCTCCAAGCTCTTACCTGCCAGAAGCAGCAGTGGCAGGAAATCCTTGAGGCTGGAGAGCAAAGGCAGTCCCCTCCTTGAGGTGCTCCAGTGTTCCTCAGTTGAACATCAAGGAAGCGCAGCCTGTCTGGCTCCTGCTGCTTGATAGCATTGCCAAGAAGTGCCAACAGCATTTGCTATCACTTCGGTTGGTTTCTTTGCTGCACTTACAAGTCAGGCTCGCAGCAATGAAAGTAACAGCTGTTTGTAATCTGACATTTCAATGACAATTGTCAGTAGACAATAAGCATATGGTGGCTGACTTCTCACTTGCAGACAACTGCAGCAGCAGGGGCATGGAGCAGCTGCAGCTGCTGGAAGCCAGCGCTGCACTGATCTGCAGTTGGGAAGGTCATCTCAGTGACTGAAGACTGCGGTGCGTGACTTCTGATGTTTTTCTCAAAAGCTAGAAAGACAATAGCTTAATGCTCAAGGTCCCTATTTCTAATCAAAAACAAGATTTTTGAGTCCTGGTTAAAATAATAAACATAGTATAAATACATGCCAAAACCTCACCTCCTCTAAGTAACACTCTTAATTAGTCCTGGAGTCTTTGTTTTTAACTTGCGCTGAATTAGTAGTGACTGATACTGTGAGCATCAAGAACTTGATTAGCTCTAAGGTGTATTTGCGTGTGATTTCAAAGCCGTTTGTAGCAGAATCAAATCAGGAACAAGTGCTTTCCTTGTGATTAGTATTGCTCTAAGACAGTAAACTTAATAATGAGGGGTGGTCTCAGTATTTTCCTCTTTTGGGAGCCAGTACCTTTGACACATGGTTGGAAGAATTTGTGATTTAGGCATAGGGCATTAATGTCACATTATACCTTTGAGAATAGTTGGGCCAAGTATGAAAATGTGAAATGTGTGCTAAGAAGTCTCCCTCTGACCCAGCTGCATCACTGTCTGCGCTTGACTCATAACTCAGTAACCGTATGCTTATATTCCACTGACAATTGCCATTTAAATGTCAGTTTACAAGCAGATGTTGAGAACCTGCCTTTTTGCCATTAATTAAATCACAGAAAAGCAAAATTTGAGGTTTAAGGCTGCTTAGGGTAACAATGACGAGAGGAGCAGCAGAAGACAGCAGACCTTATAGTGCCAGGGTTAAGCTGCACAGACAAATGAGCATGTACATGAGTTGCTACAACAGCCTTAGTTAACGGACTGTGGCAGCCAAATACAGCATGTTGGCATTTCCTAGAGACGATGATAATTTTGTAGACAATCCCAAGTTTTGTGGAATGGCTGGCAGAGGCCAGGGTAGAGGGGAGATGCTGGACTATAAAAGGAGACAGATTTAAGTGCTCAGGTGTAAAAAAGATGACAAAAATCTATTCAAGCGCAGAACAAGCAATATCTGGAAGGGTAGAGAAGGCAGCCCTCTCCACCCTGCCAGACTTTTGCACGTCTTTAAAATCCCTCCCAGTAAAGTTCATAATGAATTTAATTCAGTCCCCTGTGGCCCAGAGGAATGTTCTGAGTAATAAAAAAGTATTGCTAAGGGATAGATGACTGCCAAACTCCCATTCAGTGCCAGAAATGCATAGTTATATTATTGGTGCTTAAATGCTATGTTTATTTTACTACATAAGCGATCCTTTGACACATAGTAAGAATTAATACTGAAAGATACACTTCTGGGAAGTTACAATAACAGTCCCCAGATTCAAATCATTGTTAAATTGGTATGATTTGTTTTTAAAGAGTTTTAGGGTTTTTTTTCAGATTATAGTTGACTGTTGTAGTCCTATTCTGGGTAAGCTATTTTGTGGCTGGTGTATGGCTTAGTTTTTTGAAGTGGTTTTAGTCAAGAATCTTTTCATGTCTGTCATTTTTTTCTTACCTTGAAAAACCTGTATCAATGTTAAATGAATTGTAAGCTCAATCACTTACTCACTGGTTGAGATACATTCACTTACACATAGTCAGCTAGGCTATGGTGTATGGGCTAATGCACTTTTGATGATTAAACCAAGAGATTCAAGTGTATGTTGGAAATTTCAAGCACCAGTGATGGAGGTCACTGGACCACAGCATTATGTTGTTTATAAACATCAGTATTCATGGAAGATAAATCTTTGCTCTCATCTAGTGTGTCACTCGAGTGCAGTGGTCAGGAAAATCGGAAAAAAAAAATGGAGCTGCTGATTTTTTTCACTTTAATAAGAACTAGCGGAAGGGAAGGGTGGATATGAGATGAAACATGAGAGAGTTTAGCTCCTAGCAGGCAGCAAGCTCATGGGAAAAATGCATCAGTCCTGGTGTAAGGGGCAGTTTGGTTTACTTTCAAGCTGATACAGTGTAGCTTAAACACCTTCTGCACTTTACAGTACAACACAAACTTCCATGGCCTGTGTACAAGTTCAAATTGAAGGCAGCAGTAATTCGGTCAAAATATTTTATATGCTAAGGTCTGAACAGAAAGCTTTTCTGATGGGTTCCGTTGCTGCACTTCACTTTACTTCATACCTCCACATCAAGTGTGACCAGTTGAAAAAAATGTGAATTTGTCGGTGTGTTTATTTACACGGTGCATCTCCCTTGAATCCATAAGCATTTTTTTCAAGCATAAAAATGAACAATTACTCATCCCTGGAAACCAACAAAGTTTTGCTGCTGCCTTCTCCCGCCCCCCAAAAGACTCACCTCACTGCACTGCAAACGAGCACAAGCAGGTCATTTTTCACTTGCTGTTCACACAACAAATACACAGCTCCCCAGAACAAAAGTGGCTGAAGAAGGGGAAATCTTAAGCATTTTGGCAGTTTGAACTAGAAAGAAAAGTCAATGGCAAAGAATTCAGATACAAGCAAAAAGTCAAGACATCTTGAAGCACTACATTTAAGGTTTAAAACTGAATGCACACATTGTTTGCTTACAGTTTTTCACAGCAGTATTCATAATTTAGGAAACTATTAAACAGTGTGATGAAGTGTCCTGTTCCTTACTAAGAACCCAAAAGTTACACTGTAGAGCTTATTTTCTTTTCCCTTGAAAGAAATCATCTGGTAAAATTTGCCAAATTATCTGCAGACCTCGGTTTACAGAGTTTGTCTTTCAGTTGTACAGAAGAAAAAGCCACAGCAAACCAGTACCACCGTTTTCCTGCCTTTTCAATAAGGCCCGTCACAAGTCACAGCTTGGGGCTCCTTATTTTCTGTTGGTCTGTACCAGGACTGCTATCCGTGTATTGGTTATGCTGACAGCAGATTAAAAAACAAGCACTGAAGGCTAGGAAATTTGCAGGACTAATATAAAATTCAGATCGGCTTTTGACAGAGACACAACAGGCACTGACAAGTGAGGCAAGAAGGCAGGGAAGAGTAGGGCAGGGAAGCAAAGGGGCCTGAGATTGTATAGGAGTGGAATGAGAATAGAGACAAAGGTGACTTACGGTAGTTAAAGAACAGAAAATGGCAAAGGGAGACACATTTGCCAGTTGCCTACTGCGAACAGCCTTCCAGGGCTCTTACCTCGTGCTGTAAGTCTAAGATATGCTACTTCCCGTCCTACCAAAATTATTGTGACATGAAGTGATTACAGAAGCAGATGATCAAAAAGACAACTTTTATTTGGTAGCTTATTCAGTGAGATCATAAATCTGTTAATTATACCTTTCATTAACAAAATTAATTAAAAAGAAGACATTTCATACCTTGTCTTTGCTCAGGGGTGGTGGAGGAGAGAACCTGGACATACCTGTTTAAGCCCTGGCAGTTTTGAAGTTAGGAAAAATCTTTCTTCTCTTTTCTGCCTCCCTTCCCCATTATGTTCATGTCTTCCCGCTTGTGAAGTATAATGTTCCTGGCTTGGAAGATCAGCATGCACTATTTCAAAATTGTATTCCTACAGTGATCTGTTCAATGGTGCATTCTACAGCAAGCTCTTTGATGGAGGCAATCTGACTTAGTCTAGCTAGGTAGGAATTAAATGTTTCTGTGCTTCTGTTGGGAGAAGAAGTTAGATGCTGGAGATTAACAAACCACCAAAGCCTACTGGAAATGGCAATGGTGCACCATCAGGATACTCTCTACTACTTTGTGCCTCTGTGCAGAGAAGCCAACCTGCAACTTCTCCTCCCTCCCAGTGTTCATATAAGGCACGTTTCCTGCAACGACAAAAACAAAGTGGAAACAGTAATCTGGTGGTGTAAGGTGTTTCAGGAGTAATGCTTGGTGGGGGAGCACTGAGAGGAATTGTTTTGTTACCTGTTGTTTTATGCAAGATGCCAGGATTTCCAGTGCTTACATGCACCAGAAGCAGCGGATACCAGCGCAGACTGGAGTGCCTCCCCCTGCTCCATCTCCTGCCTGGGAACAGAGCCTGCTCAAGGTCACCCACACCTTACTTCAGGGCTGCTCTTCTGAAGACAGCACCACCACTGAGCCCTAGTGAAAGCCAGTCCACAGAGGCAGTGTTTTCAGACATCTAGTCACCCCCTTTTTAATGCCATTAGTGATGCAGCAACATGTATTTATACTTACATATAAATACAGAATGGTCAGATACCACATTTTAAAGCATAATTTATAATCTGAAACTGCTTACACTTTCATGACTAGGCTTGGGTTTTTCTCATTTACATTCATATTTTAATTCCACTGGAATTTGATTTTAAGAAAGCCCAACATATCTGAATTACCATAAAAAGATCCATACATATTTTGCTTAAAAATATCTTCTGTAAGAGGAAATTTACCAAAAATAACAGGAAATATATTATTATGCATACATTTTCTTTTCTTTTTTTTTTTTCCAAAGTACAAACAAGAATCTGATCTCTTCTGGGTATTGCCTGATCTAATATGGCTATAGCTTCTATTTATTTTGTTTGTTTTTCAAAGTAAAGGGAAAGACAAAAGAAATGTAAGAACACAAACTAAAATAAAAATGCATTCTTTTTGAAGATACAGGTATCAGTGAAAGAACACTAATAAATGGCCATAGGTACAAAGAAATACCAGCCAAGCAGTATGCGCTCTTCTGTCAGAGCATGTGCTGCAGTGACCTTGTAACAGTTATTAAAAACAACAAACCAAAAAAAGCTACTGGTAGAAAAAGCTGTCAAGAGAAACATTGAGAAATTGGTACCATTTCCTAATGAGCAAGCGCAGAACTGATATTTAGTGTTTTATGTTTTTTTCTTTCCATATATGCAAACCTCTTCCTCTTTCTGTTCGCAGGACTGATTATTGCAACTCTGGCTGTATGCTGGATGCCAAACCAGGTTAGAAGGATCATGGCTGCTGCTAAACCAAAACAGGACTGGACCGTCCCCTACTTCAGAGCATACATCACTCTTCTTCCCATTGCTGACATCTTCTTCTATCTCAGCTCGGTGGTGAACCCCCTCCTGTACAACATCTCTTCTCAGCAGTTCCGCAGCGTGTTCCTGCAGGTCCTTCGCTGCCACCTGACCATACAGCATGCCAACAAGGAGAAGTTTCTCAGAGCAAACCAGAGCTCCAGAGCAAGGAGCAGCCGGTCTCTGCGCCCACTGCTTTTCATGTCGTCTAGGCGCAGTTCTTCTAGGAGGAGCAATAACAAAGTTTTCTTAAGTACTTTTCAGAATGAGACCAAGCCTGACTGCAGCCTACAGGAACCAGGACCCGAACCACAGCAGTCCAGCTTGGAAGTAGTGCCCCTAGAGACTAGCTCAGAGCCCAGCCCAGACGCACCAAACGGCCTTTGTGAACATCAAGTATGACTTCATAAGGCAAAGTTAATGATTAACAATGAACTTAAAAACATGGAAATCAAAATGACCAAGGAATTAACTACATCTTAAAAGGAATAACATAGGTGGATTTGTTTCCAGTTATGCAACAAAAGCAGAGTTTTGTATCCCGCTGATGGGATTTTTAAGTGCACCCTGGAAATTCAGTCTGCTAACTGAATTCATTAGCTACCGAAAATACCAGCCCCTTTCTCCCCACAACCACTGAATTTCCCTCTTTGTTGACAGGGATTTGGAAACAAACAGAAAATAACTGCAGTGTCTTTGAAGAAAGGAGACAGAACAAACTTTGTCAAGGCAAAAAAATACTTGCTTGAAGTTTATCAATACAAAACCCACAGAGCCAATGTAAGGAACAGAACAGTGGTTATTACGTGTGCCCTCGGCACCATGCCAGAATTCCCCCTCTTCTTCGGCCGGGGTCCATTGCAGAGTGGAGTGTTACAGCAGCTGATACAAACAGAGTTCACCTTCCCCGGAGAACAAAAGGACTGGTATCCAGCAGAGGCTATCAGACACGCTGCTGAAGAGGCGCAGGATTTGCGATACATGATTCCTGTGACACAGAGTAAAGGTTACTTAGCTTGATATGAACACGGTTTTGCTTTACAACACAATTCATGCTTGAAAACTGTTGCAAAACCTGTTTACATTTCTAAAGCCATGCTGGTGATTTGAGCCAGAGCCCTCAGCTGTGACACGGCTAATGGCTCTGCACTGCAGGAGAAGCACAGCCACTCTGCTTCAGATTTTCCTTTTATTTGATTCCAGTTGGAACCAAAACTATTAGACTCAAATGATGCATTCTTATAACCAGAATTCCCATCTTTTGGAATAAACTGCTGGAATAGCTGTAACTGAAATGCAGTTAGTTTCAAAATGGCTTTTGTTCCTGTTGCTGAACACGTGTGAGTTGTTTAAGGTGTCTAATTACAGTTTTCTATGCTGTTAATTTGTCTTTTGAGCATTTTTTTTTCCTTTTCTTGTTCCTTTGCCTCACACAGACAAGTAACCAAGAGTAAAAGGAGAATGACTATCAGCAAAACTTCACACCCTCACCCCATTTTATTCTTTTAAAGAAAAACTAGGAATACTTTTCCAGGTAATCACAGTTCTTGCTGTCTTTGAAGTTTAATACCCTCAACAATAAAAATTTCCCTTTGTACAGAAATGGCTTTTCTGAGTTGAAAGTCTACACTTTTAAAATGTAATTTAAATTAATCTAATTTTAATTCATAATCTAATTAAATTTATATTCTATCAAATTGTTTTTACCTGAAAAAAGTACATTCTGGTGTGCATAGCTGTTATTTTAAAATGGTTCATAAAGGTTTTAAAATACACAGTTCCATTTTCCCCTGACACTGGAAAATGGCTGTGGCAGCTCCACATCTCATTGCTCTAACATTTTCCTGCAAGTTATACAGTACAAATTGTGTGTTGGAAAAACATATACATAACACATAAATAGATAATGGAGGTTTGCTGATATTGCCTTGTGGTTACAAAAAGAGGTAAATATTTCTAAGGATAATAAAATCACTATTTCTTTTGAATACACAATTCTCAAAAGTTTTTTTTTCTGGTGTATGAAGTGCCTAAGCCATTATCCATCATGTCTGAGAAGCTGTGGCAGTCCAGTGAAGCTCCCAGTGAGGGGAAAAGGGGAAATATAACCCACATTTTTAAAAAAGGGAAAAAAAAAAGACCCGAGGAACTACAGGCCAGTCAGTCTCACCTCTGTGCCTGGCAAGATCATAGAGCAGATCCTGCTGGAAACTATGGTAAGGTACATGGATGTAAGGAGGTGGTTGGTGACAGCCAACATAGCTTCACTTTGGGCAAATAGTGCCTGATGAATTCTGTGGCCTTCTGCGATGGGGTTACAGCACTGGTAGCTAAGGGAAGAGCAACTATCATCACCTACTGGGACTTGCACAAAGTGTTTGACACTGTCCCACACATCATCCTTACCTCTGAATTGGAGACATGGATTTGACAGATGGACCACTTGGTGGATAAGGAATTGGCTGTATGGTCACTATCAAAGAGTTGAGGCCAACAGCTCAATGTCCAAGAGGAGACCAGTGACGAGTGGTGTTCCTCAGGGGTTGATACTGGGACTGCCACTGTTTAACATCTTTGTCAGTGACATGGACAGTGCACCCTCAGCAAGCTTGCCAATGACATCAAACCATGGTGCAGTCGACCTGCAGGAGGGAAGGGATGCAGTCCAGAGGAACCTTCACAGGCTCAAGAGGTGGGCCTCATGAAGTTCAATAAAGCCAAGTACAAGGTCTTTACACCTGGGTCAGGGCAGCCCCAAGCACAAATACAGGCTGGGTGGAGATTGGCTTGAGAGCAGCTCTGATGAGACAACTTCGGGGTGCTGAACAACAAGAAGGTCAACATGACCCAGCAGTGTGCACCTGCAGCAGAGAAAGCCAACCATATGCTGGTTGGCTGCATCAAAAGGAGCTTGCCCAGCAGGTCGAGGGAGGTGATTCTCCCCTTCTATTCTGCTTTCATGAACCCTCACCTGCAGTTCTGTGTCCAGCTCTGGGGCCCCCAACATAAGAAGGACATGGACCTGTTGGACCAAGTCAAAAGGAGGCCATGAAGATGATCAGAGAGCTGGAGCACCTCTGCTGTGAAGACAGGCTGAGAGAGTTGGGGTTGTTCAGCCTGGAGAAGACTAAGTTCCAAGGACACCGTAAAGGATCTTTCAGTACCTAAAAGAGCTGACAAGAAAGCCAGAGAGAGACATTTTACAAGGACATGGAGGGATAGGACAAGAGGGAATGGCTCCTCTCTGAAAGAGGGGAGATTTGGGTTAGTAAAGAACTTCTTCCTACTATCTGTGAGGGTGATGAGGCACTGGAACTAGTTTCCCAGAGAAGCTGTGGGTATTCCATCTCTGGCAGTGCTCAAGGCCAGGCTAGATGGGGCTTTGGGCAACCTGTTCTAGTGGCAGGTGACCCTGCCTCTGGCAGGACTGGTTGGAACCAGATGATCTTTAAGGTCCCTTCCAACCCAAACCATTCTCTAATTCATCTGAAGAGCATCGAACAGGATTCTCTTGGAGACTGGTGCCTCTGCATCCTGTAGCATGGTTCCAGAATGTTTTTAAATGCACAATGACTGAGATATTTTTTAGCAGGAGTGAAGCAGAAATATGACCCATAGGTACTGAATTCACAGTAACTGCAGACACTGGTTCAGTCCCTGGGGACTTCAGAAATAAGCACTACCACGCTGCACAGTCCAGTAGAGACCTCTGAAGTAGCAACTGCCACTGCACTGAGTGCTGTGCGTAGCAGCAAAACACGGTTTGTTTAGGTTATGCTCAGGAAGAAGGATTTCCTGTCTTCAGAGAATTTTAATTAAAGCAATTTTTTTACACTGTCACCACACTGCTGCCATCCCAACAGTGCAGGGGTTTCCCTGTTTTCTGTTCTCCCTCTGCAATCTAAACTCTGAATCATGTTTTAAGTCTATCTATCTAGTTAAACTTACAAAGAGAAGTCCTCAAGTCAGTGTTAAATCTTTCTCTGTCTCCAGTGAACTTTAATCAATCAACGCAGCAGGTAGAGCCTTTTCTCAAGAAGGAAGAGGAGCTAGAGGCTGTTCTAGCTGTAACAACAAAGGCGCACAGACTGAGAGGTACAATCTTTTTTTACAACACTTTGTAGAAAGCAAGGAGCTGTGTCACTGTTGGCAAACCATTTCTGTCAATGAGCCTCAACTGCGCTGCCACCAATTGGTTTTCAACACTGAAATCTCAGCTGGTGCTTCCCACAAAGCCCTGGTGCTTTGTCTGTGTTCCTCCTGCAGTCTTCAGGAGCTGAGGCACTTGTGACTCCTCCCATAGCTATGATTATTTTTTTTTCCTTCCCCTTCCTTCTTGAGATAGGAATACTGTATTCAATGGACCTATGCACAGAGATTGTTCTCACATCTCTAATCCTGCATCTCCTCCTCACACATTCCTTCCCTGTACCCACCACTGCACAAACTCAGCCACTCCTCAGTCTTCCATATGAACAGCAGTGAATCGACTTTCCCCTCAAAGACCAAGCCTTTAAAAAGCTTTTGACATTGGCAATTTCCTATTCTTGTTGTTTTATAGATCACTCTCTTCCTGCCATTTCCTTTTCACAGGATTCCTACAAAGCCCTGTTCTCAATTCAAGCTATCAAGTGATTTACTAGTTTAGGTCCTGAAATATCATATACTTTGCACTTTTCCCTTTTAGACAAAGAGACTAGAATGGTTCAGTGCTGTGAACAATTAGATAATGCCCTCTGAAGCATGGTTTTCACCAGGCAACTCTAGAAGACCTCTGCGAAAAAAGAAAACCAAGTCCTGCAGCTTAACTGCATGTGTTTACAGCAGCTCTGTTGTCCAGGATAAATTCCACAGAACGATCCGGAGCTCCTTTTGAAGGCAAAACACAGTATTCCTGCACAGATTGAAATTTTACAACTCAAAGCTTCTTGCACCACTGGACTATGTTCACACCTAACTACAGGCAAGAATCTAAGTAGGAGTAAAAATCCCACTGTAACACCTCTCCTGTGGCTCTTCTGTGAATATGTCTTACAGCAGGCAATTCCACTCCCAAACGATTGTTTATTCCCTTTCCCAGCTCTAGTAATCGGAATTGTAACAAGATTCTTTACATAATTAAAAAAGTCAGCACTTCTGTCGGCTTTTCAATACTTACTTTCCTGAAGACATGCCCTTCACATCCAAGTTTTTTTCTTAAGTACCAATAAGATTCTTTTGAGCTCGCAAATCAGCTGCTATCATATACTAACTGTGCTTTTCATGAAGCATCAGCTATGAATGAAACTTGATCACCATAGAAAAGCTGTGCTTTTCTTTAAATCTGCAGTATCCTTATGGCAAGATACAATGAAAACAGGCATAAAGATTGATGGAAAAATGGAGAATGTTAGCACTATAGGAGTGACATTTAAAAAATGCTTCGGCCGTGACTTCTCTTATTTTTTAACTATGAGTGTAGAAAAGCAATGACACTTTGAATAGTATGAATTAAAGAAACGCAGGAAAACTGCTCTTAAACCTTTTTTTTTCTATCATATCCCGATTCCAGTTTGTGGTAGGAAACAAATTAGTACAACTGACTTCCCTGGTATGATGCCAGGGATACTACAGTCCTTGCTCCAGCAGACGCGTTAATGTACCCTAGTTCACCGACTGAGTTTGGATGGGACAACAACGTCCTTTCCTGATTATCCCCAGAGATTTTTCCTTCAACTCCTCTCTTGCAGTGGCTTATTGTACCATTAAGCCAGCTTGAAACTATTTCTGAGATCTTCCTGAATCATTTGCCACCAGCAGGCTGAACTGCAGACAGTTCTTTGACGTGGTTATCTATCTGTCTCATAAGACTCATACTACAGACAAAACTGCTAATTACTGGATATTCTTGCTTGAGCAATCAGCTTGATACATTCATTAACACATCACCTGGAAATATTATTGCAAACCTTTCTGGGAGTTTTCTGCTACCTCAGATTGTTCTGCGTT